TAGAGGAATTCCGGCGCGGGGTTGAGCTAGTTGGCCGACCCGGCCAGAATGGACAATGCGACAACATTGGGGTGGTTTTGCGATTTTTTGAAAGATATTTGACAATTTATTTTAAGAAAGCAGATTTTCTGCAGCTGTAAACGACTATGAGGGCCTTGCTATCTTTGTATGAGCTCTGTAGGCGCACTTTTACTATCAAAACACTTGGAGGAACCATCTTCATGTCGACACGAAAAACATCAATTTTTCTCTTTTCCGAGAAATGCTTACAGAAGCTATCTCTTTCGACTCCGAGCGTGAAATGAGCTCTTTCCCGGCGGTGACGAGGTTGATGGTTCACCGCCGGCGCCAGTGCGTTTTTCCCGGAGAGCTTGCTGAGAGCTAAAGGTTTTAAGATAAGAAGCCGGACGGTGGTGGTGCCCGCCAGGAGCTCTTCCACGGCGGTCCACAGGCCTCGCAGCGCCTCCGGCGGCCCGGCAACGTGTCCGGGAGAGGTTCGGGGAAGCTTCCAAGCGTGCCTGCATGCGTGCAGGCACGCATGGAAGCGTTTGTGGCAGCGCTTGAGCAGCGCTGCAGGGGGGCCCCCAGAGCTCTCCAGGAAAGATTCCCGTCCCCGAGGGTGTCTTCGCTCTTCGAGTTTCGGACGCTACCAAGTTCAGCTTTCACCGAAAGTCGGTTGATTCAAGTGGGGAACCGACGCACCTCTCAGATCACTCGAATAGTTTCGGGATCAAGCTCGAGTAGCAGACCGAGTTGAGACCTCTCGATGGGACAGACAAACGCGCTTGATGATTTTGGAGCGGGTTCTATAGGTAGCAGCGCTGTGCCTCCTAAATCTTTAAAAGTACAGAACACCGTGAACGCGTGTCAAGATGCTCGAAACGGCCGACAGTTCCCTCAAGTCTTTTGATAGTAATATTGCAACTACGGAGCTGAGAATTTCACTGGCAGACGCGGCACAACCCACTACAGATGAGAAAAATTCCCGTTCCCAAAACGAACTATAAAATTTTGCAGAAAGATTGCAAAACAGACCTAAGGTTACCACATTGTCTCTTAAGATCGGGTCGGCCAACTAGCTTCACTCTGCGCCCGAATTCCTTTTAGCTCATCTTGCCGAAGAGCTCTTCGAGGTACTAGGTCCGCGAAACTATTCGTATTGTTCGAGTCATCCTCAGAGGTGCTGTTGGTTTTCTGCATTTCACTCGGGCTGTAGGGGGGGGGGGCTGCAGAGCTGGTAGGAATCGATTCGGAGACATCAGATGCGTCCGCATGTCGCGTTGAGAGGTCTCAACTCGGTCTGATACTCGAGCTTGCCAAAGTATTTGTACTGTTCGAATCATCGTGAGAGGTGCTGTCGATTTACGCGCGTAGCTGGGGCTGTAGGAGAGCGACAGAGCTCGTACAGAACACAATCCAGAAGCATCGGGGGCGTTCGGCTGTTGCATCGAGAGTCTGAAATCGCTTGGGCTGAAAAATTATTCGTTATCTGCATTTTTTCTCAACGTGATATATTGTCAGAAAGCTCTACCAGTCCACCGGCGGTAACAAAGGTTCCGCGTCTGCCAGTAAATTTTCAGGTCTGTAGGTTCAGTTTTACTATCAAAGCACTTGGAGGAACCGACGTTGGATAAAAACAGAAAAACGTGTTTTTTCGAGTTTTTTGTTTCTCGCTTTCTTCTTCTGTTGAGGAGCGCTGTGCAAGAAAAGAGCTCTACGAGATGCCCGGCGGTAACCTGGTTGACGGTTTACATCCGGTTCCCAGTTCCCGAGGGTCTCTTCTCTCTCCGGGTTTTGGAAACTACCAAGTGGTTGAGCCGTCGAGAAAAGGAGATGTGGTGACTTTAGGTCGGGTTTGTGAAGATTCGAAAGATGTTTGAGAATTCATTTTAAGAAAGCAGATTTTTGGCACCCGTAGTGGGTTATGCCGCGTCTGCCAGTCAAATTCTCAGGCCCGTTGGCGGAACCGACGTTAGATAAAACAGAAAAAAACATGATTTGTCAAGTTTTTTCGTATCTTGCCCCAGAAGCTCTCTTCATCTGTTCCGAGGATTGCCGTGCAAGAAATGAGCTCTACGAGGTTTCCGGCGGTTATCAGGTTGACGGTTTACCGCCGGTTCGTATTCTGTTCTCGGAATTCATTCGTTCGAGCTCTAGTATTTTTTTTTGTGATATTCGATCTTATTTCCGCTCGTGATCTTGATCTCAGCTCGATCGGGTATCTTTGAACTTGGTCTGCTGCCTAGAATGGCAAACTGTTCGTATTGTTCAAGTCATCTTGAGAAGTGCTGTCGGGTTTCTGCACTCAACTCGGCTGTGGGAGGGGCTACAGTGTTGGTGGTCACAGGAATCGGTTCGAAGACATCAGGCGCGTCCGCCTGTTGCGGGCGTTCTGGCTCGACGGCGCGTTGGTCCGCCGATCGCAGCGCACCCAGCAGGCGAGCATGCAGCTCCCGCGGAAGGCCGCCGGCCGACCCACCTCCCAAGGCCCAACCCGCACTCCCCCCCCCGACTCGGACCCGTCGTCCTGGCTCAGAGGTTGGGGTCTCTTCGGCATCTGCTGGAGACACATCGGCAACCGCACGCATTGGTTCGCCGAGGGAATGGGGGGAGGCACCATTCGGGCTGTGGGGAGTTTCAGGTCGGCCTTCTCGACTCGCGAGGCAGGAGGCTGGCTGAGCTCCGACGGCGGCTGGGTGCTGTACATGGCCGACCAGGTGGGCCTCTACCTGTTCGGCTCGCGTGGCCGCTGATCGCCGGGCTCGTGGCGGTCCTCTCCGGACTGGCGTGGTCGCGCTCCTGGCCTACAGCCTCGGGTGGCTGCTCTCGCATGCGCCCACCGCACCCATGTCGGCACAACCCTCATTCGCGTCGTGCCCCCATTGCTGGTCCCGCCGGCGGCGCCGCCCCTCACCAACGTGGTGTGGCACGGCCCAGCTGTGGGTGCCGATCCGACGACCGACTGGTACCGCAAGAGCATCAAGGAGGGCAGGGGATCCAAGCGCGGCCAGAATGACCTCATGATCAGGGTCGACTACCGGGTCGCACGGCTCAAGCTCAACATGAAGTACCCGGAGCGCATCAATCGCCAAGGATTGTGGGTTGAGTATGACTCTGTGAAGGGGGCAAGCGACAAGGGCTTCAGGCGCGAGCTGGAGCAGCGAGATCCGCGCTGGCTTTACCTGGTGCAAGGGGCGTGAGAACGAGCTGCACTGCAAGGAGTACGCCGCCCCTTGACAACGAAGCCATCGTGGATCTCGGCGACTATTCGAGGTTCACGCCCTGTCGGTTTTTCGTCTGGCTCTGGGCCTCGTCTACAAGCTGCTGCTGTACGTCCTCTCGTGGCTCTCGTGCTGCGGGGCGTGCCTCTGCCGCCAGCGACGCCACCGTCGCAGAACTGGCGACGCGGAGCCCGGCGTGCAGGGGTCGGTGGCAAGGTTGCTTGACCAGGAGTCCGAGTCCGAGGTAGACGCCGAGGACAACCCCTGCGAGGCGGTGAAGGTGGGGCTCATGATCAAGGGCAAGATGCGCCCACTAGCGCCCGAGGGCTGTCGAGACGCCGCGCGCGGCGATCCGACCGTGCTGTTGGTGGAGGATGGCCGGGCTTCGGACCTTCCGCTTCCGCGCGAAGGGAGTGCGACGGCCTGCCTTTGCGAGCATCACAGGCAGATCTACATGGTCCTGCGCTACGGCGAGAAGTGCTCTCAGGTGACGTGCTTCCGCGAGGCGGTGGGCATGGCTTCAGGGGTCCCACTCTGCCTGCAGTACCTTGGAGGCGACGCCGCTCGGGCGCTCCACGACAACCCCGCGGGAGTCGGGTTCCTCGCGGGGCTTCGGCGCCGAGCTCGGCGGAGCCCGGCTCCGCGGAGCCGCGCGCCAGAGCGTGCCGCTGCGGCTCCAGCCCGGAGTCGCACGCCAGAGCGCTCCGCCCCGACGACCTCTGCTCCAGAGGCGCCCACCAGCCCCGGCGACCCCGTCCCGGCGCCGGCTGGGCCACCGAGCGTGCGCTTCGAAGCGCCGCCGGTTCCAGAGTTCCCGTTCGCTTCGGGCGATACTTCATTGTACGGGCGAAGGTACATTGGCCAGAAGGAGCGCAGTGGATGATTTTCAGAGGGAGGGCGGCTGACGCCGCCGCGGCCAGCGCAGTGGCTGAATACCTCGACGGCGCGTTGGCCCTCGAGGTGGAAGACCCGACCGGCCTCGCCATCCGCTTTCTCGTGAAGCCTGACGGCGTCATCCGTGCACCATCCCCGGGACCCTCCTGGCGTCTGCCAGCGGGGTTCATCGAGGAGATGCTTCACCACGCGCCTTCGGGCTGTGAGGAGCTCGGCATCAGCGTCTCGGCGACCAACGTGCCCGAGAAGGTCTGGCACAAGCTGGCGGCGTGGCACGGGCTCCCCGTAGGCGGGCGAGCTGGGCCGCTCAGCGAAGCTCGCTGGCAGCTGCTCCGTGAGAAGGTGGTCAACCTAGTCAGGTGGCACCCCGAGGGAGGCGTGGCGCCCAGCCCGAGCTTCGAAGCGCGAGCTACGGAGGCGGATGCCAAGCTGCGCAGCCACTGGCAGGGGCTCGATCGCAGCAGCTCGCCCAGGCCACCCTCTGGGTCCACGCGTCGCGGCTCTCGCTCCCCGTCAGCCGAGGGCGGGCGGGCAGCGAGTTCCGAAGCACCCGTATCAGGAGAGGGCCATCAAGGAGACGAGGGCGAGGACATGATGGCCTGCTACTTGGAGGAGAAGGCCCGCGGGTCGAGCGACGCCGCGGCAGTGCAGAGTGTGGCCGCCGGCTTCGACGAGGAAGCCCAGCAGTTGCTCGCTAGCCTCATCCGCTACGCCCAGTACCTCAAGCAGCAGACGGCCGAGCCAGAGGAGCTCGCGCGGCTCGATGGGCACATCGGCAGTTGGGAGGTGCTCCAGCAGGTGCCCTCACGACCGCAGACCCCCAAGGCGGCGCCTAGTAGCCTTCAGGGTCCCCTCAGACTCCCGCCCGAGCGCCACCGCTCGCAGGGGCCGCCGGCCACCCAGGCCGACAGCGCGCCCCTGTTCGAAGCGCGGCCGCCCCTCTCGCCAGCCGCCGCCCCGCCAGCTCTCACTCGCGGGCCACGGGGCGCCGGCCTCCCAGCCACCGCGGCTGGGCTGGCCCTGGTCGTCCGCCCACAGGCTCCGAACATCGGGGCCCTGTTCCGCTACGACCAGCACATCAGCGACTTGGGCCTACCTCCAGGTCTGACCACAGCTCCAGCGCGCTACGCCGCGGGAGCCCCAGAGGAGGGCGGGGGCAGCGACCCGTTCGGCCTCGCGCATTCCGGAGCAACCCTGGACGCGAACACCGCGAGGATGCTCCACGCCTTGGAAGGGGTTGCCAGTGCCCGTCAGGGTGACAAGGCAGCCCAGCGAGGGACGGTGGCCGCGCTGGGGAGAGCCGAGGAGTTGGACGTCTACCTGGCGCGCGGTTGTGGCCAGCTGACCGTGGAGGTCTGCGACGAGGTCCTCGGGCGCGAGCTGTTCTACGCTCTGCGCCGGACCTGTGAGCAGAACAAGGCACTGATGCTCGCCGTCGAGACGCCCACGACAGTGTCCAACCGGATCGCGATGGCCTGCGCCTCGCTCAGCTTCGGCGGCAGCAGCTTAGACAACTTGGCCCCGTGGTCGGCCTCCGTGGCGGACTTCCCGACGTGCAAGACGGTCGCGTTCGACAAGTACAGCGCGCCGCGCGACGCGAAGCTGGAACCCAGGCCCAGGGCCCCCGTGGTCTTCGATGAGTGGAAGCGGCAGGCCCAGAACATGACCAGGTTCGGGCTCGTCTTCGGACGAGAGCATGTCAAAGAGCGTCTGGATTGCTTGGAGACTCTCGCGCGGGAGTGCGAGAAGGACGACCACGCCTTCCCGCCCAAGTTCGTCTACGAGCTGTGGGAGGAGCTGTGGGCGACCTGGTGTGAGCGACTTCGAGAGAAGAAGCGAGGCCTCCTGCGCGTGTTGCAGACAGACAATCCTCGGAAGGAGGATCTCAAAATGGTGGCCTTCGCTCCCAGGTCGGACGGACGCTCGGCGTTCGTTTTTCCCAACGTCTTCGACCTCGAGTCCCCCGCGGGTTACTGCCGAGAGGTCGTGCGCCCGCGGCAGCAGCGCTACCTCCAGACCGTCCTCAACGACTCAATGTACGGGGTGCGCGGCGCCCCGGGCAAGGCTGGGGAGGTCAGAGGAGAGGGAGACGAACCAGCTGCGGAGCCACAGGAACAACGAGCAGGAGCCACCCCCAAGAAGAAGCCCAAGGCCAAGGCCCAGCCGAAAGCCAGCTCCGCACGAGCCGCATACCCTGCGGGCAAGCGGCTGAACGCCCAGGAGATCAAGCTTTCTGTCCGGCACGCGCCCTGCGACAAGCAGGGCAAGCCGCTCTGCTGGGACAACTCGACCTGGATAGGCTGCAAGAAGGGTGCCCAAGGGTGCTCGCATTCGCACGAGCTCATCAAGGGCCTGAAGGGCGTGCACTGGACCGTGCAGTGCCAACTCCTCAGGCGAGGTGGGCTCCGCAACGCCGCCAAGATCGACCCAGCTTCGGTCAACGGGAGGATCGCACAGCTGAGAGCCCAAGCTAAGACCGAGGCTGACAGCAAGCGGGCTGCAGGTGCGGGGGCAGCGGAAAGCCAACCTACCAAGACAGGCTGGGTGCCGCCCGACGAGAACGCCGAGGTTCAGTGCACCGGGCTTGAGTCAGAGCTTCGCGAGGCCGCCCAAGGGCCCGACGCCACCTGGCTGGAGGACCCGCGCGCCGACAGCCCGGCCCTGGTTGGGGCGGGTGTCTGCACGGACGGAGGAGCCTTGGCCCAGCGAAAGCTGCTCGAGCCCGTCCAAGAGAGCGGGGTGCTCGACTCCGTGAGCCACGCCAGCGACTACATGCGGTCACATGTCTTGGCACGTCTTGCCTGCGCTCGCGGGCGCGAGGAGGAGCTCTCAGTCGAGCAAGTGCTCCTTGAAGCGACGCGCCAAGGCGGGCCCACCCTGGCTGCCGAGGCTAGCGAGCTTCTAGACCGCCTCGGGGCGAAGGCTGGCAACCTGGGGGCTGACCCTGGCGTCATCATAACGCCAGTGCGGTGGAATGCTGAGAAGTCGGTGGGGCAGGGCTCAGTCACGGTGCAGGGCCAGACTTGGCACTACCTCGACTACCAGGACCAGCTGCCCCTCGACAAGTGCGTCGCGAAGCGCTTACACGTGCCCGCCGGTGTTTCGGAGGAACGGCAGTGCCTCCCACTCCACCTGGCGGCAGCCAAGCTCTGGGTGCAGCTCGAAGCACCACCCGACGCCCAGCAAGTCAAGGACCTGGCCCTTGAGATCCGCAGAGACCTCCTGGAGAAGGCTACCGACGCAGCTGCGGGCCTTGCCGACGCCCCACCCTGGATATCCTCCAGGGAAGCCGAGGTCTGGATGCACATCCACGACGCGGTGCATCGCGACCACGACAAAGACTTCCGGTGCGTCGCCCTCTTCCCATGCGAAGCGTTGGAGGAGGTGGTACTCAGAGTATGGCGAGCAGATCGTTGGGGCCACCTGGATATTGATACGGTTCGCCCGGCGGGGGAACCCAAGCAGGAGTGCCACGTGATCATCCATCGCGGGCATATTCGTGTCCTCCACCCTCCGCCCGGGGCTGAGGGCAGACGAGTGGCAGACGAGTTGATCCGCACCTGGGCCACGAGCGGGAAAGACCTCAAGGAGCTCCCCACCATGGGCTGGGAGACATACCTCGCCTCGGAGGAGGATGGCAGCCCAGTGGTGGTCTGCAAGCCTCCCCCGTGCCAGCACTGCAGGGCCCTCGCCGCGCAGCGGCGGCAACGTGGGAGAGCCGCCGGCGGGGCACCCGCCGTGGTCGAGCTCCCCACCGAAGTGGCTTGCCCAGACTTCGGGGACTTGGAGCCTTTGCGATCGAGACCCACGTTCGCGTGGGGACTCAGGACTCGGGAGATTTTCGCTGGCACAGGGCGCTGGGCGCAGGCAATGAAGAACGCGGGCGTCGTCACCAGCGAGTCCGTCGAATACTTTGGGCAGCCTCTGCTTGGCAAGGATCCCAGGCCGCAGTTCGACTTCCGCGACCCGCTGGTACGCGAGCGCCTGTACCAAGAGTTCAGTGCGCCCCCAGGTCCCGACGAGGCCAACGTGCTGCAGTTCGCCCCACCCTGCGTGAGCCATTGCCCCTGGCAGTTAGCAGCAGGAGGGACGAGGACCTTCGAGTGCCCAGATGGAACTGGGGAGCGGCAAATCGAGATCGATGGCAACGTGTTCGGGGAGTTCGCGTGCATAGGGGCGAAGCGGGGCTACGAGGCAGGACGGGAGTTCCTCATCGAGTCGTCAGCGCGGGATGGCCGGTACCCCAAGCTTTGGGACCGCCCCTGCATGCGAGCTCTGATGCACACGACTGGAGCCCGAGTCCTCGCCATAGACATGTGTGAGTGGGGACTCGGACCACCAGACGAGCCACAACATCGGTATCAGAAGCGGACCTGGTGGTTAGCATCGCTCGGGCTCTACCCCTATGCCCTGATCCTGGCCAGGAGGTCCACAGGCAAGCACACGCATCGCACGTTGGAGGGCGGCTTACCGTACGATCTGACGGACGCCCAGGTGGAAGCCTACAACCTCGACGCGCGTATGCGGCTGAGCAAGACCGAGGCCAGCGAGTTGATCAACCTCAGCACCAAGTTGGGCGAGGCCGGCGGGTGCTACGGCCTCGACAAGGACGGTGTCACCGTCACACTGCCCCCGGACGACAAGCTGATCCGCGTGAACCAGCTCATCGCGCGGTCCGCCCCGGACAATTTCCACTGGGCGAGGATCGACTTCCGCACCAAGCGGCACTACTCCGCTCTGCCTGAGAACCAGTGGGCCCTCTACTTCGGGAGGACCCCCGAGGGCGAGCTCCGCTTCACCATCAGCACGCAAGCCCCACCCAACCTGGAAGGTGGAGGACGCGTCCCCAGCGGCACCCGCCTGTTCAGCGCTGCGGTGAAGGGGGAACTGGGAAGCGCCGGCTTCGGACTGGGACTGCGGGGCATGCGGAGGACCCAGCACGCGGGGCAGTATGCGCCGCGGTTGTGCGCTGCCTGGGCAGCCGTGCTGAAGGCAGCGGCTGCCGGCACCGCCCCCGAGAAGCTGGAACAGCAGATTGCGGCGATGGACGCCGAGGCGCGGGCTTTGGAGAAGTTGGAGAGCAAGGTGGCGCGGGCCGGGCGTTCCGACCCCCTGGAACAAGACCCCCCCCCTTCTTTTCGGCCTCCGGCCTGTGCGGGAGAGGGCGCTGGTACGGAGGACGGGACCATCAGCAAGCACAGCGAGAAGTGCGGCAGCCTGAGGCAGAGCGCCATCACCTGCTGCCTGCCCCACCCGAAATGGAGAAGCTCAGTGGAGGTCGATATTGACGTGGGCTCAAAGGGCCCCCGTGGAGGCAGTCGTTCAAAGGACGGCTACCTGGAGAGAGACGCGGCGGAGGAGGACGGCGGGAGCTCAAAGGGCGAACGCCAAGGTGAGGACGAGTTGGAGGTGGAGACCGACGGCGAGCCGACCATGATCGTGTGTGGTGGCGACGAGAAGCGGGGCGGCAAGCGGGGTGGCAAGCGAGGAGGCTGGAAGCGCAACAAAGCGCGCAAGCGTGAAGCGCGCGAAGCTGCCGCTCGCGGAGGGGGCGGGTCTGGCGGAGGTGGTGACGAAGATGGCGATGGGGACGAGAGCCCCGAAGAGGAGGAGGAGGAGAACCGCCGCCAGAAGAAGGCGAGGGAGGCTGAGGACGAGGCGTCACGAGCAAGCCCAGTGCGGGTTTTCGCCCCGCAGCAGGGCGACCAGTGGGTGCTGCTCAAGGGGGGCCCGTTCGAGGCTGGAGAGGTCAAGGCGAGGCTGAAGGTCTCGGAGGCACTGTCCGGGGGCTTCTTCGACGCGGACCACCTGTACCTCTTCGAGTACACGGAGGACGAGGACACAGCAGGAGCACATGGGCCACCCCTCGACGACGAAGAGGCAGTGCGCCCCGGCGAGAAGTTGCTGCTGTGGGCCACGCTGAAGCCGCCGAAAGAATGGACCAGTTGGAGCCCCCGGTGGAACCGAGACCAGCAACCGGCACCTGGCGCCATCGCCCAAGCAGGCCAGCGGAGGGTCACGGCCAGGATTGCCGACCGGGCCTCCGCCGCTGCGGCAGCAGCGGGGCCAAGCGGGGCTGCGGCGAGCTCAGCGGCCAGCAGCAGCCGCCTGCCAGCCCCAACGTTCAGCGAGGTGGCTGCAGCAGCGGGTGGCGTTCGAGCAAGCTCAGTCCCCCCGCCCAGCGGGGGCACCTCGAGGAGCTCAGGTGCCCTGGTGCGGGTGGAGGAGCAGCTCGC